TAATTATATTCTAAACTTACAAATATAAATAAGTTTTAATTATTCTATTAGATTAGGTTATAAATAAATATATATAAGTTCTTATTCTTAAATATAGTTTTTCTTTTATTTGTATTTAGAGCAATAGTTATATAGTTAGTAGTTTAATAGTCTAGTCCTGACTACAAGTGTTAGTTTTAAACATAGCATTTATATAAAAAATTACTTTTTGTAGATAACAGCTTTATGTAACTATTAATTATTAAGCTATTAATAAAGATATAAGCAAAACCTTATATTAATGCCAAAAAAAATATATTAATAAAAGTCAAAAAACCAAAAAGGTTATCTAATATATATATATATATTAAATAACTAATTATAAATTAATCTTAAAAATAACAAATAGTAATATATAATTGAAAAGCAGAAGTAAACAAATACAAATATATACAAATTTGATAATAGATAGAGTATACAATATATAAATTAACAGTAAATAAAATAAATACAACATATACAAAAAAATAAAGAAAAAGATCTAAAATATATATTAATTATATAAATACAAAGTTTGTTTAAATATGAAAAGGAGTTAATAAAAATAAGATATTTTTTTCAAATAAAAGTTTTTTAATTTTAAATTTAAATATTTTAATAACTATTTTATTAAATTTGATAAATTTTTTTTATTTTAATTTTATATAATTTCAAGATTAAAATAAAAAATTTTTTAGAAGATTTGATTAAATAGTTAAGTTATTTAAATTTAAAAATTAAAAAAATTTTACTAAAAATGATTTGTCTCTTTTCTATTGACTCATTTCTAAATATTAGCAATTATAAAGCAAAAGTAGTCAAATATATAAATAATAAAAAACTAGTTAAAGTTTTAAATATAGCCAAGCTATTAAGTTTAGACAATATAAAGTTAATAACAAAAAAATCTAGTACTTTAAGAAATAAATAAAATAATAATATATAATTTAGTTATGTATAGACAAATAATAATAATATTTAAAAAAGTAAAAAGTATATAATTACAAAATAAAGGCATTAAAGATTATATCAAAAGAATTAAAATTAGAAACCTGAATCCAAGCTTAGTTAATTATCTTTTGAAAATGAAACTAAAATAGATGATCAAAAAAAGATTAAAATATAAGTAATTGAAATTATTATAAAAAACAAAAACATATAAGCAGAATATAATAAGAAGAAGCAACAATTAGAAGTAGAAAAAATAGAAAAAAATAAAAAATAAACATAAAGGATAATAATAACATCACTAAACAAAAAACAAAAGTAATACAAAACAATAAGCAAAGAATACAATACAAGTATAATAAGAAAAAAAATCCTATATTTTACTAAAACAAAGTATCTGAATACTAGTAAACAAACTATGTAATTTAAATAACTTATATTAAACTAGAATACTAGTATACAATTTAGAAGATAAAATAATTTAAGAAAAACTACAATATATAAAACAATATTAAAAAAAAACAAATATATAAAATCAGTTGAGAAAAAAACTAGAAAACATAAAAGATAAATAAAAATAGATTTTAATTACAATTATAGCAAAGGAAAAATGACAAAAGAAATTTAAAAACAAAATATTGAAAAATACAAGTTATAATTAAAAGAGAAAAAAAATGATTAAATACCAAATATAAACAAGATTTTTACAAAAAAACAAAAAAAAAATTTTTTTAAAATATATAAGAAAAAAAATAATAGAAAAAATATCACTTAAACAAATTTAAATAATAGTGACTAGATTTTAAATATTATATAATTATATATAAAATTAATAAAATCAATTGAATTAGAAACATTAATATTAGGATATAATAACCTAGTAAAGTAGACAGATTGTCAATTTCCAAGTAGCAGATCTAGTATTCAAATTTTATGAATAACAAAATTTGGATAATTATATCTGTATTATAGTAACTGTGTCTCATTAATCAATTGAACAGAAGAGAAGATCTATAATTTTAGAGACATTATCTTGAATGAAAACTTGAAACATCTATGCAAAGTATAATATTACACATATATAGAAGAATATTAAATAACTAATATTGTATAAAACTTTAATACAAACCTATAATAAGACTATCAGATGCATAGTACTAAGAAACTGAAGTATAAAAACCCACTTGAAAATCCTAAATAAAGAAGTAATATAGATTTTTAACAATACTATCAGACTAATAGAAAACTCAAAAAAGAGTAACTAGAATGAAACAAATAACAAAGTATATAAAAAAAACATATACATCAACCAGGTCATCAAAATCACTAGAGGAAAAAGATCTTTAAATACTATATCAGACCATTTGGATTAGTAGTTTAAGAAATCTTATAGGTTTAAAGTATAAGAACAGATGATGAATAAAAGAGATATTGAGATCTTAGTAAATTTTATAAGAATATAGCAGTTTAATAATTAGTCCTGACTACAAGTGATGGTCTAGACCAGAATGGTACAGATCAATTGTAAGTATAAGATACAGAAAACTTCAGTAGGCTTAGTATAAAGTTAAACATAACTTAGTAATTATGATATATTTGCAGATTAATACTGCAGTTAATAGAATAAAAGTGAATACAGAAACTAAAATATTTAACTAGAAAATCCACAGGTGAATTCTAGGTATAACAACTAGTATAGAACCTTTGAATAGACTACTTAAAATAGACAATGACTAATGTTGTATAAATAACTAGTTGTACACTCTTTTCATGATTGTCTCTGTAGCTGTTGTACACAATAATTATATGTTAACATATTATCAATAAACTCCTGGATCACAATTACTCACCTTAACATTAAAAAAAAAAAAACATTAATATTAATAAGAATTTAGTAGTAAATTTTTTTTGTTTTGTTATTGAAAAACTAAAGTTTTTTTTTATATGTTTTTTTGTTATTCAAAGAACTAAGAATAAATATTTTTTTTCTTTACAATACTTTAGAAAAACTTATTTAATTTTTTTTATTGTAATAAATATACAGAAAATGAGAAATAAAACAAATAACTACTCAAATATATAAGTATTTAAACAGCTTTTGTCTTGAACCATGTGTTATCTGATCAAACATGTGATAGACCTTTTTATGATCACATGTTCAATTGATTAAGTAATTAGTAATGAGATCATTGATCAAAGTATGATCAATAGAAGTAGTGTGTTAGTAGATTGAAGGTAATTGAATAAATATAAAGTAATTGAGTAATTATTAGGTAATTTTATAGTAAAATATTAGTAAAACTTGGGAAATAATGAAAGGTAACTTTGTCTTTTCTGTGAACCCGAATTTCGTTCTGGTAACATCAACCCCACCACCCTTCCCGTGAATTAAGCGTTGTTTGAGTGGATTGACCTGCTAGGATGGCAGTCATATTTAAAAGGGGCAAGAATGGGTAGGTTATCTAGTTTTGCAGGTATTTCGAATTGCGACCTGTTCGGACGACAGTTGCGATGGTAAGGTTGCAATCGGGACGACTGCTAGAAATAATTAGAATAATAGTAATGATAATTCATAATGAGAAAGCTTATATTAGCCAGCCGATACTCGAGAAGGCTGCGTAAGTTGCTCGATGGCGGAAGGGGCATACCCGTTTAGTGTTCCTCATCGTAATAAGTATACAGACAAAACAAATTAATAAGCAAGTATACAATTAACCAATCAAATACAAATAAAATGCTTAATTTAATCATGTTTTCATAAATGGTTTCATGACGGTTTCATAAGCAATCCATAACTCAGAAGACAATCAGCCAATCATACAATTCAATTTTATTATCGTAATTTTTTTTTTAATATTTAATACCGGCAATTTCTCAACATCGCATAACGATAAATGATTGAATCAAATTTATGAATTATCATCATTTATTTTTAATAATCACCAAAATCGACCATCCGCAAGAAAATTTTAGACGGTTCCAATCCCTACATATGTATTAGTTATTTGGCTACTAGGTTACACATTGTGTATTAGATTGGTATTGGTATATCTGTCGAAGTGGATTGTTTGGCATCTTGTAGTCCAGAAGCGGTTGCATATTTTTTTATATATTTGTATGGAATAGTGGTTATGAACAAATCGAACATTCCGCCGTAGTAATAGTAATAATCGGCAGTGCACCATTTTATTGGCATTTGTTCCCATAGTCACACTTAAAAAATTATTTTAATCATAGAAAAGTCGCGCAAATTTGGTAATTTGCACCATCTACGTAACACTAAATATAATTATTGAAGCGTGTACGTATTAGCGTTGGTTATTCTCAAGTATAAGCGATCCTTCGGAAAATTACAAACCACGAACAGGCGAGAATGCGAGGATGCGTTGTAAACCATCATTGAATTTTCCGTGGCATAATTGATCTTATAACCAGGTAACTGAAATATCGAACGATGGTATAGCAGTAATTTATGATAAAATCCTCGTTAATATATTGCATATTTTTAATTATAGGCTAGATGGCTGTGAAAATTGTGATGTAATATCGATATTTTTGTTTGAAATTTAGATGTGGACAATAATGATTTGATCCAAGAACACCCGAATCATATGCAAATAGTTACACTTTCACCTTCACCAGCAAAATTATGTACCAATCCAGACTTATAGGTCAATGACTCTATATCAATAAACTGAATAAATCGAGGCTTAACCATAAAGCTAAGAAATGTTAGACTGTAATTTAGATGCGCAAGCAAATAAAATATGTCAGAATTGCGACATGCGACATCATGATCCGCTCAAATTATGATGCCAGTCAACATTTTTTTGTACATCGCTTCTTTTTTTAACCCTGTCCCCAAATTTTGTGCATCATTATTTATATCCCATGTATCATAAATTATGATCTTTTAATGTTAATACTAATACAGTATTTTTTTTACATGACTAAAACTATTAATCTTAATTCTAATTACTGCGATAGAGTCTAGTGTTCTGACACTTTGGATTCACTAATGTTACTTTTTTAAAATGGCACCCTTAGCTTATCGCTTCGTGAGATTTTTATTTAAAGTTTTGGCAAATGCATTTTATGCAATTGAAGTAGAAGGAATAGAATATATACCTCCGGATGGATGTTCGACTATTCTCTGCCCAAATCATGCAAATTCCTTGACAGATCCTATTTGTCTTTTGGCCGCTATACCAAAAGACAAACGGGATATGGTAATTGTTTATAATGATTGAGCTTTTTAGTAGTGTTGATGAATTAAAACTTAAATTCTCGTAAATAATTCAGATTCGAATGACTGCCAAAGATACATTTTGGCATAATACGGATTTCTTTAGGTAAAATAATATATATTTATATATATTTATGTATATGAATGTGTATACATGTTGTCGCATCTTGTCGACGAACTATACTATACAGTAATTATTAACAAATAATTATTTACTTGTTTACAGTATATTAATCAGAAGTTTAGGCACAGTGCCTATTAAACGAACCAAGGTATTTTGAACTTCGTTCTTTATCATAATGAAATTATTTATTTGTGCTAAGGCTTAATTACAGAACTTTTGAATCTCACCACATAAGGATTATAATTATGCTAAAGTCGATAATTCGGAATCATTTGAAAAATTAATAGAGGTATTTCCGAATTATGTAACTCATGATTTTACGAGTTGGTTTGAAACTAAATTAAAATTAAAATTCGGTCTTTATACAATATAGAGTTTAGAACAAGGGGATTGTGTTTGCATGTTTCCAGAAGGGATTAGTCGATATCACAGCAGGGTGGCACCCTTTAAACCTGGTGTAGCATGTAATGTGCAGTCGCTTTTTAGATTACTACCCTCTTAAAGATTATTTTTGACTGATATCTATTTATTGAATTTATGATCATGCAGTGATAGCTAGTGAGGTAAAGTCCTATACAGTGATTATTTAATATATTTTATTATGCAATATAAGGCTTACATTATCTCATTCTACTATTTCAAGACTTTGACTCGCAATAAAGATAGCCCAAATTTTTCAATTAATCTATTGACAGTTTCATTAGTATACATTCGTCGCGAAAAATTTCGGTCGAATGTTTTGGTTAAATTCAATCCACCGATTGTACTTACTCCACAACATCAATCCCTCTTGAAAACCATTACTTCAGATGGTAAAAAGCGAACTAGTGAACAAGCTATAAATGAATTGACATCTGTCATGGAGGAAACGGTTCGTTCGAATACCCTTGATTCACCAGACTGGCAAACTTTAAGGATAGGTATATTTCATTCATTAATCAACTATACATAATTTAATATAATAATATACTAAAATTAGGTTCTTTATCAAAATATAGCACATACTGCACGAAAGTTGTATGCAGGCAATCTTGGTACTAGAATATCTTTAGCTGAGTATGTTCGCTTAACGAAAAAATTTATCGATGCACTAGCAAAAGCTAGTGAAGAATCTAATGTAGGAGGTCAGTGCAACGAAAATAATGAGGTTAATAATGAAGACAAGGAAATTATTGTAGAGCGCGTTGATAGCAATGTTTTGCATGTGGATAATCCAGCGTTTAAAGAAAAGATTACACATCAAGATATTGACATTCATACCTTATCGAGAGATCTGGCTGTAAGCGTCCTTTAATTGAAACTTGACAATTTTTTAGATTAATTAAATTTCTTAACATAATCACTCTTGACATTCATGATAAATTAAAAGGCATATCAAGATCTTCTTGATTCACATGGAATAAAAGATTATCGATTCAGTCGTGCTATTCCTTTGTCAAAGCCTGAGCTTATTGGGCGTATTTTTATACGAGTAGTTTGGGCATCAATTCTTGCAACGATCTCTTCAGTAGGAATAATACTTTGGCTGCCAATATTTACATGCGTAAAGTTAGTAAATTCTTTAAGGAAATCTATAAACAATTTCTGTAGTTGAATCCAAAATCTGCTGATACTGAGAATTGGTATAAATTTTTAAAGCTGTTTTTCCTTAGACATAAAGTTGGGATATAATGTTATAATTATTAAGTCCTAATTCTCAGCTTCAAACAACATCGGCTTCAATTGCGACAATAATACCCGTTCAGATTACATTGATTTTTGACTTTTTATCCATTATGTAAATTAACCTTATGTTCATTTTGCACCATTAGGTATAAAGAATATCAGATTCGTAAATTGCCCAAGGAAGATAATTATGATGAAATAACCCAATACAAATTACTTATTGCTGCAATACTGCTTGTACCAATTTATATTACGGCAGTATTTTTGACAATACCGTTTGCATTTATCACTTCGTGGCTAATTCCTCTATTAATGTGGTTAACAATTCGTTGGACAGAAGACTTATTTCAGGCTATGAGATCTTGTCTCTCTCTCACAAAATTACTTTTACTTCCTAAAGAAGAATATGCTCATATTAAAAGTATACGTGAAAATATTAGAGAGAAAGTACAAATTTTGGCGGTGAATGAACTTGGTCTTCCGGACAATCCTGAAGTTTTGGTGAACAAATCAAGACCAAGAGGAATGGGTTATTTTTCGATCAAAAAAAGAAGAAAGAAAGATTACAACGAAGTTTTAAGGCTTTGGGACGTGTCAGCATATGATTAACATAATTGCAAATAATTCTATTGCTAATAATATCTGTCTGTTTATACACAAAATTATGTATATCCTTAATATTTTATTTAACTCTAGTAATAGCTTTAATATTATGCAAGCGATGATAAATAGAAAATTAAGGTTGTTAAATGAAATAAAGAATCGTTTAATTTGCGTATTTATTAAAACTCTGAGCTTTGTTATGTTAGTTAACCATGTAAACACGGAGACTAAGGTGGTCACGAATTTTATTAATCTCTAATACAGTGACAATACTCATTCTAATTAAAGATATTATTTGCTTTATTATTATGTAATAACGTAAAATTTAACAAATGAAACATTTCTGCAATAGCTAATTTGATTAATTGATTTCAGCCCTGAAAATATGCAATCTTAATTCACATTTAATGCACCATCAGTCAATTTCAGAGAATCTATCAAACTCATAATAAACCGAAACTTTTACTGAATCGAAACTTTCTTGGACTTGGTAGGCTCCCGCTTAGGAATGATGAGCTTCAAAACTCCATCATGAAACTTAGCAGTGATATTATCTGGATTAACATTTTCGGATAAAACAATAGATCGACGAAAACATCCATAACGACGTTCTTCAATATGAGCTTTTCCTTTTTCTAACTTTTCATCCTGTTTTATTTCACCAGAAATATTGAGCACACGATCATTGTCTATGAGATCAACACAAATTTCTTCTTTTTTGACGCCCTATTTATTAGGATTGAAACTATGTTAATAATTTGCAAATATCTTTAAATCAATATTAAAGATCTAATATTAGACTTACAGGTAACTCGGTAAAAACCACATATTCCTTATCATTTTCATGGAAATCCAGCTTTGGATTAAAGAAAGTAATTTTTTTGTTTTTATAATGGCTCTCTTTATTTTCATCGCTGTACAACCCAATTCTTTTCAAGAAATCATCAAACGCATTTTTAAGTTTGTGCTCAAAATTATGAAGTTCTTCACTATAACGTGTCATTTCTGTGCAAATACAACGAAAATCAGGATGTAAAAGTTGATTTGGACATAAATTTTTTATCTTCTTTTTTTTGATGACATATTTTATCCGTATACTTTTCTCATCCTATATCATTTATATATCATATATACATATTGCATGAACTTATGATAACATTTACGTAAATATGATATAAAAACACATTTCTATCAAGATACTTGGTGAAATTCTTAGAATTCTAGTAGTTTAATTTATGTAAATAGAAATCTAGCGAGTTATTTCAATTAGTTATGTATTATAATTGTTTAACATATAATTTTTGGAGATAAAATATAGAATCAGAAATCAGAAGCCGAAATTAGAGATAGGATGGGTTTTTTAAGGTCTGAACATGTTTAAAACACAAACCATTGATTACTTGCCAGTTTCTGAGATATGCAACTATTGTGTTCAGCGCCTATAAGAATATAAAAAATTTATTACTAATATTATTATTTAAAGATTTTAATACGTAAGAATTTTGTAACGAATGAAAATATTGAAAATATAATTGTGTTAATGCTATATATCATAAATTATATGCTTGCTATAGCAATAGCTGCTAAATTCTTATCAATAATTTCGACCACTCCTTAGATTATAAGCATGCACGACGTTAGATTGTGTTCATCCATTGTAAAGTCTCCAAAATATGAAAAATCACTTACAAAAATATGTGCCTAACTGAATATCCACTCTCCTGGTTACTTTTTCCAGTAGAATTAACTATGAGCAATAATTATGGCGTACGATTCACCGCATGGAATACCCGGATTAAAGTAATAAACAAGGATAACAGACGTCTGAATTATCTAAACTAAACTGAGCACGAACGTGGATATTAGATAAAATGGCTAGTCAGAAGGATTAATGAGTAATTAATAAAGAATACAAACTTTAATAGTTATTAATGTATAGGCACATAAGAGAGTTATGTATGATAATTACATAGGTAATTATTGTCGCGGAATTTTTAAATCTTCTAATATGAAATTTTTAAAAAAATTTTGGTGCATTTTTTTCAGTTTGTTTTATAGTTAGGTTAGCTTTGATAATAAAAATGTATAAGTGGATTTTTGTAGAGTTTATATTTTTAAATCGAGGTCTTTAATTCCCAGCTTTAGCCGCGACAATTATAGTCATATGTAGCGTCCTTTAATGATAATTGCGAATGTGATGGTAGACTTACATTGCTACGTATCCCGTACGTGTATATATAAAAACGCTGCATTAATACGTAAGAACATATAGCATTAATGTAACTAACATTTCATAACCCATAAATGTTGTTTGTTCTTTATGTATCCTTTAATCCCACTTATATTTAGGGATGGGCACGACCCGTGTCGATTCAAGTTCAAGTTTTGGGCGAATCGAGCCGATTCGACTCGAGAGAGTTGAATTGAGGAAATTCTTAATAAAATCAAGCCTTGAATCGAGTCGACTCAAGTTGCGACTCGTCGAGTCATGACCATCTTTACTTTACTTTATATTGATGATTTTTTCTTTACTGTTCCGTTAACGGCGCATTCAGCGCAGTAATCCGTGAAACTTACGACCGATCCTTAACGAACTACGAATAAGCACATGTACTATCAAGATGAGCGGAATGGACATGCTGATTACCCAAATCCAAGTACAAATTTTAAAAACCATAAAATCAGTTAATAGACACGGTATAAGCATAGAGCGTTGTTTCGCGTTTATAACTCGCTAAAATTGCATCATGCAAATAAATGGGTTGGCATAAGAAGTATTACTATTGTTCATAAAATTTGATAAGTAATAAGCATTCTAAGGTTCATGATGTAATAGACACTCAAAGAGCTGCGTAATATTTTCATAGCATTATATTTGAGAATGATAAAGCAATAAATTTATTTACATGATTAAAATCATTAATAAAATATTTGCATATTTAAAATCAAAAAAAAATCTATCGCTATTAATATTAAAAATGGGTATATTAATATTCGAAATTATCCGATATTTAATAGTTATAAGGCATCTGCATGAATTTATCCGATAACTTATGACGATAGTCTGCCCAATAACAATTTACTATTCAGCAACTATATAACTTCTGCCGAATAATCATAATAAGGGGAGGGACAGAAATCGGCTGATTTTTTTGGGGTTTGTAATTCGATCAGGTCATATATTGTTATAATTAAATTTAATTGGCTAATATTTCAATCAGGTGAGGGGAGCCCTCTTAGTAAACAGAAATCACCCAATTTCTAAGCTGCCGGATAAAATATTTTCTAACCAATATTATATACTTTGTATACTTAATATTACATGTGAAAAATATGAATTTTCATTTACAGCTATTATCATTATTTCTGGAACACCTCATGAAAAATTAACCGAATGATTATTCTGCCAATTCAATAAATTATTGATTTCAGCATGATCAATGTAATGTTTATTATTTACAAAGATAATAAAGATAATCTATGTACAAAGGTGCCAATTGATTTGTAACAGGGATGGTAAATACTTCCATTAATAAGAAAATGGAATAAAATTTAAGTTTTACAATAATTGGAAATAAATTGAATTTTTTGCAAGATGACATTAATTTGTGTAATTAACATGCAAGTAACCAATCGCAATTGCTAATTTTACATCATGAGCATAATAAAATTAATTATGATATATAATAATATTTACGTAACTGATTTATTAGTAATAATAAGTATTGCAATATAAAGTCTAATGAAATTTGTGTAAACTTACCATTTTTACATTCAATTAATAAATTTGTAAAATGTCACCACCTTCTACAGTTACAGTTTTTTCTTATGCAAAAAAATTTCTTGAAGATTTTTTTATAAATAATGAAAAACTTAGGTGTAAATTTTGTAGTCATAGTATTAATTTTTATACAAAGAACATGATTACTACTTATATAAATTTCAAAACACATATTTGTAATAAGGAAAGTCAATCTGAACTATACCAATTAACACTTCAAGTTACAAATAATATGTCTCAAATAAAAAAAACCATTGTATTTGATCTAGTGGACACATTTGTTGCAGCAGATATTTTATTAGAAAGATAGACAAACTTCAAGAATGGTTATACAAAAATTATTATGAAGAAGAAGTTATACTGAAAACACATACTTTATAGCATGAATATTTAGTACAAGTATTTAAAAAACATTTCAATCAACTTAAAGAATATTTTAATCATAAATGAGTTTCAATTATTGTGAATGAAACCACTGATGTTAGAGTTTAAAATGTAATTAATATACTTTATAGTTTTAAAGATGTAACAAAATTGGTTTATATTGATTACTTGGAAGTAGTTAATAATTGTAGTATAAGTTAACTTATAATTCAAAGTCTAGTTCAGTAATCAATTCCTTTTGATCTACTATTATTAATTATATCTAACTCAACAGCATATATAAAGAAAAGTTTTCATGAAATATTAAAATCTATTATGTTACAATTAATATACTTATCATGTTTAGTATATATTGTTAATCTTATTAGATTAGTATTTTTTATTTATTTTTATGTATTTATAATTTTATTATTATTATTAATATATATATTAATATATATATTTTTTTTTAGAGAAGTATGTTTTTCAATTAAATATTTTCAAGTTATTTATCAATTATTTAATAATATCAAACAAACTTTAAAATTAAATAAAAATAGACATGTATGTTATATATTATATTTTCAGTGACATAGAGTATCTAATTCAATAAACATACTAATGTTCAATGTAACATGTTGGAATATTCTATTTTATATGCCATTTTATATATATCAATATTTAGATTACATTCGTAGATTTTATAATGAAGAGTATAAAGAAAATTCATCACCAACTGTTGAAAAAATTAATTTAACTTTTTGCTGATCAACAAGTAAATAGTCACATAGAAATTTATTTGATCTTTATTCAAGAAAATGCAGTACACTTAGTGACTAATTTAGATTTTTTTCAATAAGAAACCATACTGATGTTTCCTTTTATTGAACAAAAATTGTAACAACTTGAAACATGAATAGTTACAGAAAAAACAGCTACTAATTTTGGACCAATCATTAATACAGTATTATAAAAATTAAATACTCCTTCAACATTATTTATCCTCATATTTCAACAAGCATATAATGTAACATATAAAAAACTCTAAGATCATATATTATAACATCTTACACATTCTTTGTTTAAAGCAGTTCAAATTTTTGATCTGTGATTTTTAAAGTTAACAATTGCTAATTGGAATATTTATTCCTATCAAATCATTAAAGAACTAATAAATCCATCACCATCTCTTATTCAAGAGTGAGCAATCTATTGTAATATTAATTTGAGTACTATAGAATTTACAGAACTAAATACATTTTGGGATAAGGTTTCCTCTCAAATTCCTCTTTTAGTAAAAATTGCATATTATTATATCTGGTTACCAATTTCTGCTTGTGCTGTTGAGCAAAGTTTTTCTGCATATAACAAAATATTAGATGATGATAAACATAATTTAAGTACTGAATCCCTTAAATTTCTTATAATATTATATTTTAATAACTGAAATTAGAAATTTGATTACATTATTGAAATAAATTGCTTGCAAATAGTGACCAATTGGTGAGCTTAAATATAGTATCACATGTTGTAATAAAATGGAATAATTGGTGATAACGTGATAAATAATTCACAATTTAATAATGGAAATATTCACTGTCCCTGATTTGTAAATTAAAACTCACGTGAAACTATAAGGCTTCAAACGATCTCTACTTTCACGTCCTAACTAAAGTTCCATTTCTAATTGTAACTCATACAAATATCAGTTAGACTTCTATTAAAGCCTTAAGATATTTTATATCATTCAGATTTAATAGACGTTATTTCTTAAAAGTGGCGAAGGTCTTTAAATGCATATATCTTTGAAATTAGGGGTTTCAAAGTTAACAAATGAGTGCGTATTTTGTAATTAAATGAGAGTTTGAAAAATCTTGATTGTATTTCAAAATTTTAAAATCGGAAAATGAAATGGGAATGTCTCGAGATCCATTTAACGAGATAAATAGACAAAAAAAATTATCATTTCAAATTTATCGGAAAATGAAATAAAGTTGATACATCGCTCATTTGTAAATAAATATGTCATCTATAGATTCTCGCACGTTAACTTTGAAACCCCCTATTGGTTGAAAACTTGACTTATTGAAGATCTGCTAACACCTAAGTGTTTAACAGTTGTTTGAATTTATACCCCTCCTAAATTTTTTTCGACTGAATATAATACTTAACATCGATATTGGTTATCCGATTAATAATTGTCACTGCAGCATCTACGAGCATCTACATACGTACCTGGTTTTAGACTATCTTTGTAAATAATAAAAGTTACATTGATCATGCCGAAATCAATAACTTATCGAATCGGCAGAATAAACACTCGGTTAATTTTTCACGAGGTGTCCCAAGAATAATGATAACAGCTGTAAAAAAATTTATTTAATCGGTAATATTAATCAATAGATTTAATGGTCATATAATGATACATTGTAAATGATGAATGATGCATTTCTTTCAATGTTAGATGAGATACTTTCGATGATTGATGCACAGATTCGAGAATTAAGGAGCAAAAGCTATATTTATAAGAAAAAAAAATACCAACTTTCAAGTTAAACATTACCGGAATCATTTTTTTTTTATAATTCATTTCACAATACATTATTAAAGTATTCTTATTCAATTCACTGATGGTGGCCCAAATACAAAAACTTTTCCTTTTATCTTTCATATTCTCGTGCATGATTATTGCAACTATCGCAGCAAGATGTCCTTCATACTTAAAAAAACGAGATGTATATAAACCTTACGACAAAACAGATCGTTACGATAAACGGTCTATTATTTATGACGATTTTGATGATTTCGATGATTTCGATGATTTCGATGATTTCGATGATTTCGATGATTTCGATGACTTTGGTGGGGTTTATCCGGGTTACCCGGGTTATCCGGGTTACATGGATGATTTTTATGATTTAGATGACGAATTAATTATAGGGGATGTATATGATGAATACGGATATGGTGGATATGGTGGATATGGTGGATATGGTGGATACGGTGGATATGGTGATTATGAAGAAGAATTTTTGCCGTTCCGTAAACGCCACTATCGGAATGATCATAATTAAAGGATAATAGAGTCTGTGATAAACAGATGTGACATTGTCAGATTTATGTAGATAATTATGATGTATTTTATGTATTATGTAATTTGAACTAATGTAACAACATATGTTAATAAAGCATTTTTTCAACAATGGAAATTTTCAAACAATTTGAGTAGGCATGTACAGTTTAATTATCGTTCTATCCACTATCACATTGTAAAATTACGAATTATTGAATCAAACATATATCTCTCACTATCGCTTTTTTTTTGAATTAGTACGATGGTTGGATTGGTCGTTATGTGATTATTATACTTAATTCGAAAAGTGCGATAATGTATATTAGAATATTCGACTATAATAAAAAGGAATATATTTTATACCAACGCTTAACCCACAATATTTCTATTTATTGATGCTAAAGTTACCCAAGTCCAATATTGTATGTTATGTTATCATGGAAATACTACATTGGTCTCCCCAAACCCGATTTTGAATATCACGTGATTGGAATATTTTAAATAGATCAATTATCTCGATGACTAAACAAGCAAAGTCGAAGATCACTCTAGAATTAAAACAAAAAATTTAGTGAATTTGCTTAGGTAGTCATTGATATCTTTTTATTTAAAGTTTTGTAAAAACTTCAAAATGTCTTGATAACTACCTAAGCAAATTGATACATTTTTCTTATTTCTAATTTTAAAGAAAATTTATAATTAACGTTAAAAAAAGTTTATTAATTTATTTTAAATAGTTATTAAGATATCCTTTATTTAGAGGATTGTGAAACTTAAAATATCTATAAATAAAAATAGTAAATTCTTTTAAAAGCTTTAAATAAAAATATTTTTATTAATTATTTAAGCAAATTTAATAAACTTTTTTTAATTTTGGAAAATTTATTTTTAAAAATAATTTTTTAATTTGCAAGATTTTATTAAACTAAAAATTTGATATTATACAAAGATTAATTTTTTAACATTTGAATATAAAGTATATTTAGTTATATATATAATTTTAGTTATTATTTATTAAAAATTTTATCCAAATTATTTATTAAATACTATATTTAAGACTGATTTATAGATTTTTTATGTAAACTTTTTGCTATTTGTAATCTTATATTGTTTAATCAAACAAATATAATCAGACCTTTCTATAATTACATCCTTTGTTCTAAGAATTTTGTATTTATAAAAGTTGTGCTTGTATAAAAATTAAATTTTATATGTTTTATATAAGCTGATTTTAACAATTTATATAATGATAAGTAAGTATAACTGTAAGATAAAAAGGTTTAACTATGCTATATATAGTTTAGCCTTATTTATAACCAACTTCGAATTATTTTTTATCTTTAAATAAGCTTATCAAAGCTATTTATATTTTATATATAGAAAATCTAAATTAATAATCTTATATTTATAATTTAGATTAATACTTGTAATTAAAATTAGCTATTTAATTACTATAGTTATTTAGCTTTCGTAAAATCTACTTAAATTCCAATATTAACTTTATTACATATTTCTAGTACTTTAATACAATTATAAACAGGCTTATACAAATTTTCAGTTCAATTAGCCCAGAAAAACCATATACTAGCTTTGGTATATATTTCTACTTAACAATTACAGCATATAGCTAAGTTTAATAAGATTTTTATTTTATTCTAATTATATATATTTATAAAATTTAAATAAACATACATAGTTTTGTTAAAGTTGATTAGATAATTATTAAAATATATTTACTTAAAGGGTTAAAAAATTTATACACATTAAAACTGTAATCAAACTGAATATTTCATGTAGTATCTATATTCCATTTAAATTATTTTGACTAATTGGAATGGCCTACATATGGCCCGTTTAAATTGTTTCAGATGTTCATTATTTTGAAGGTACAACGTTGGTCAACTAATTATGTTAACAAAAAACGTAAAAATCGATGCAACATAAAATTTTAATTTGATATTACTTTGTTTAAACATTAAATATCCTTCGCTACGCTTCGGAAATTAAGTTTAAAGAGATTTGTATATCAATATACCTTCTTCTGATAGTGATATAAATTTTTTAATTATTTTGAATATCTTAGTATTAAAAAAAAACATATGCAATTAACATAAATAAATAAGTAAATTTAATACCTGATAAATTATTCACCATCCCAAAACCCATTAGTCCAAAAATCATTAGTTGGTAACAAAGAATACCCAGCTCTACCTCTATTTTCGGTGTAATATTTGTATAAATGCCATCCAGCAAATCCAATAATTGCACCAACTAATAATATTATAACAATCAATATGTCAGTCGCAATTATAGGTCTGTCTATTGGATCATCTGGTGAAATTGGAGGTGGTGCCTCTGGAAGATCAAAGTATGCTGAGGCATTATCAGGAAGAATAGATGGAATAAAAACAGAAATCCATTCATAATGATATTTATTTGGTGTGTATAACAAAAATATAAGATTGCTAGGAATTTCCAAATTATGTAAATTATCATATGTTAAGCCTAATAAGAATTGACAAAGGTTTAAAAGATTTGTAAGGATAAATTAACATTATGAAAAGTTTATATTTTAAAATTAATTTGTAAGTACCAAAAGCAATAATCATGTAATCGTCAATCATAGAAGCAGTATGAGCATAATAAGGTAAGCTCTCAATTGAATTCTTTACACCAGTTACGTCAGGGATCGACCATCTGAATTGCGTGTCCAATACCGCTAATTGAGGTTCTGCCGGCAATCCGCCATTTTCACCACCCCAAATTAGAATTCGATCGTCCTTAGCTGAATAGTAGCATCTGGTTAGCATATGATAGTCAATGGACAAAATTTTAAGATGAAAAATCATATAGCTTACTAAGAACTGATGTATGCATAGCACGTTTTCCAGGAATTTGACCATTTGCTTTCTATATAAGTTTAAGATATTATTAAATTATAATATAAAACTAAGCATAAATCAATATAATGAATAAGTTCTTACCATAAAAGACCATGAAGCTGTATTTGTATTATATAGCATGATCTAAATATTAAATCAAACCATCAAAGAATCTTTTAAAAACAGATAGATTCGCAAAAAATCAATGATATACAAACCTTACTCATATCGTGATATCCATCATTATTCCATCCACCAATGTAAACAATTATACCATTCTCCAACATGGTAGCAGAAAATCCATTGTTAAATTCGGGAGAAAGTGCAAAGACATTTTCAGTAGAAGTATTCCAAATCAAATTTACAGTATCTAAGATATCAATATTATTATAAATTTTCAACGGTGATCCCATATCAATATCATTTAATCCAGCATATAGGTACATCTGTCCTTTGGAATCGCAAGTTGAGGCCAATTGTTTTCTTATGTTTGGCTCATTACCCTTGATTTTTGGATGAGACCATTGTTGAGTGACAGCATTGAAAGCATAAATTAACGAAATTTGTTTTGTTGAATGATCACGTTCACCCCCAAAGAAATAAATAGACATATCACACAGAGAGGCAGTACCTCTTTGGTGTGGAGGAAGAATTGAAGAAAGGTAAGAAAGGTCATGAAAAGGGAGAAAAGTAAAATTTGAAATTAAAAATGGTTTTGAAACATCAAGGTAAAAAAAATCGTTTGTTAGTTGGCCATATTTGTTTTTGCCACCTAGAAAGTATAGTTTACTGTCTACCAAGCATGCAGTATGACCACTTCGTTCCCCTGGAAGATAGGCTGGAGTTGCATTTACAAATATTAGCAGAATTGTTATAATGGGTAATGTTAATGCTAGCAACCGTACAGAATTCATATTTTTATAATTGTGCTATAAATGAAGAGAAGGTTTTATTTAATGTAGTGTGAATGTCTATGTCGATCTGTAATATATACACTAATATGAATTCGTTATTATATGGTAATATATTTAGTTTCACAGCTTTACATATAAATATTTTACCCAAATGTAACACCCTAATAAACACGGCTAATACTATATATAATAAGTGTGGCCACACTCTACTTAAATCATCGGAGCAATCATTACTACACTTTCCGAATTGTAATAAATTTGGTATATAGAGATAGGTAATGATTAAAACTCATGATTTTTATTTTAGCAAGGAGTGTAGCAATCTTTAATGTGTCAATATGATTGCACTCAAATTTTATATGTTTTAAGAAGTTGCTAATATTTCATTAATTGTATTCATAGATATTATTGTTAAGAGTCATAAATGATTATTTATAACTTTAATTAATACGTCCGTACGTACTTACCTGGAAACATTACAATTATTACGTATAGTGCATACGCATGCATATTATTAGGTAACATACATATCAAAACAAAAATTTTTTTTTTTAAAAAAACAAGTAATTCCTATCATTCGGCTTACAAATTATCACCAAAAGTACCATATATTAATTTTGAATAACAGTTTTCTCACGATTGTTGATAACTGTAAGGGTTTGTTTGTTATTGTTAGATTGAGTGAAATCATTGTTGTATAAAGTTAGCGACGTGATTTATATAGGGATGTTAAACCGTTAAAAACTAACTACGTATATCAGTTACAAACTTGCAGTTAACTAGTTTCATGAAACTGTTTATAAAATTTATATAATCAGTTTAGTGAAACTATTTAATTAGAGTAATACGTTTCCGAATGAGGCAACCATACGTAGTAAATTGTGCGCGCAGATCTATATGATTTGCTATATAAAATTGGTAAGCCACGAACACCACTTCATGACAAAGTAAGTCATTTTTCTTCATGGATTTCTAATGATTTACTGTAAAAAAATTGTTACTATACTTACTGATTGCGCGTGTGTTGTGGCGATAGATATAGTTATGTTAACTAAGTAAATATATCTTCAATTTTTTTAAGTAAACTTTTTTTTTTAACCTTAAGCAGTTATGTTAGTACTTTATTAAGATTCTTGAAACTATATACATATACAATTATATAGAATTTCCTAATATATAAGTTTAGCATCATTTGGACATTCCAATAATACCTAAGTACAATTTTTGTTATATTATCTTAGTTATAGATAGACTGTTTATCTAATTACTAAAAATCATATTAGAAAGGTTTTTTCTTTTCTGTGATAAGTATATTAATTGTCTTTTTTTTGTTTGAAGTGACAATCTTACTTGTATGTCTTTTATTTTATTTTATTTTTTTTAAATGTTAAGGTGAGTACATGTGATCTAGGATTTTATTGGTAGTATCAGTTGGCCAGCATTTGTTGATGTAACAATATAGAGGTAATTATGGAAAGAGTGTATATTAGTTACTCATACAACTTTAGTCATTGTCTAATTAAGTAATCTGCTCAAAAGTTTTATACTAGTTGCTATACTTAGGACTTGCTTGTAGGACTTTTATTTAAACATTCTAATCCTGTATCTATCATATCCTACTAATGATTCTGGTAAAATAATGAAGATATGTCATGATCACTAAGTCATGTTTAACTTTGTATTAAACCTATTAGTGTATTCTGTATCTTATACTTATAGCTTATTTGGTATCATTTTGGCTTAAATCATCATCTGCAGTCAGGGTTAACCATTTATCCTTGTAAGGTTTACTCAAAACATTGATACTTATCTTTTTGATATTTTCTCTATCATCTTCTACTAACCATTATTCAAAACTGACAAAACTCTCTAGATTTCCAATTCAAATAGTCTAGTATAATATATCTTAGTATCTTTTTTCTCTAGTGATTCTGGCAGCCTGGTTGGTCATATTCTTTTCTATATATCTTGTTAACCATTTTATTTGTCTATTTCTTTAGAAGTGTTTTATTGATTTTTATCAGTCCAATAGCATTATTAAAAGTTTTATGTTATCTTCTTATTCAGGATTTCCAAATAGGTTTCCAACTCTTTGGTTCCTTTACTTTCTGTATCTAGTAATCTTATTGTGAGTTTGCACCAAAGTTTTATACAACACTGGTTATATATTCTTCTATATAGATATAACATTACACTTATTATAGATGTTTTGAACTCATATTTAAGATAGTGTAACTAAAGATTACAGATACACTGATTCAACCAATTGACAAAAATAGTTACTATAACACAGATCTATTTTCCAAAATTTGTCATCTATGAGATTTAAACTCTAGACCTGTCACTTGAAGGATGACAACCTAATCACTTCATTAAATCATCATACTCTATATATGTCTTTTATTAGTAATATATGATTATATTTTTATATACAAAATCTATTAATAAAAGTACAACTAGTTATATGTATAACTTTAGTTATTATCTAATTAAGAATTTCATCTATAGATTACCTATTAAATGTTATACTTAAGACCTGTTTATGAGTTTTTTATTTAAATTTTCTGATTTTTAATACTTGTTTTGCATATATATATATAATACTAACATTACTATTATAGTAATATATTAGGTTAGGACTATCTTATTATTATTTATATCAAAATATTATCTTATTAGATATTACTAATTATTCATAGTCTTTCAAAATTACCCTTAATGCAAACTTATTAAGTATGATACCAAGATTACTTCTTAGATTTATTTCATTTTAGTATATCTCATATTTATTAAAACCAGTTTGATATCAGAAGTGTTTAAATTTTAGTAAGTTCATTTTTTTCTTATAACTTTTTTTAGATTTACTGTATTATTCATTAGTATATCTTCTTTCTATTTTTAGTATATTTACTGCTTTTCTTGTATTAAGTATTAACTCTTCATATTAAAAAACTTTTTTCTAAAAACTTTTTTATATACTGATCTTTTATTTATATAAATTTTAGTCACAAGACTTTATATATATTTATATGCTTTTGTAGATTACAAAGTTTTTGTCTCTATCTGAAATTGAACTATTGACCTTGTCTGTAAAGAACAGAGTATCTAGACTACTAGATTATAAGACCTTAACTTTATATTAATTATCTTTTAAGCTTTTTTCTTCATTTGATTTGTCTTTTCTATTTTTTTTTTTTTTTTACTTATTTATTTTTTTTTCTTTTTCTTTAATCTTTTTTTTACATAAATGTTTTTTTTTATTTCATTTATTATTTTGATTTCTTCTTTTAGTTTTGCATCTTTTTATATCAAACTTTTTATAGTTGATCATAAAAGATATTTTATATTGTTTTTATTATTATATCTATATATTTTTATATTATTTATTTGTTTAAGAGTTGTTCAAATTTTTCTCTTATTTTTAGTATAATAAGTCTTTTTATCAAATTTTTCTTGTTTATGATTTCTTCTATTTCTGTTTCTTCAAATAATACTTTATATAATATTTATAATAGAATTTTGTCTTTTTCTTTTTTTTTAAATCTATTTTATACTATTGTTGTAACTATTTTTTGAATCTGTTTTCACAAATTTTTTTGTTTATTACAATTTGCTAAGTGTATTTGAGTTTTTTTTTCTTCATATTGGCATATATGATACTCTATAGTTGTGTATATTTCTGGTCTATTTCTGTTTAATTTTTTAAACATTAGTAGGTTGTTTATTATATACATAATTGTTATGACTCTTCTTATACCAAATTTTTTTAAAATACAATGAATCTCTTTTGTTCTGTTTATTTTCTTTTAAAAACTTAATCAATTATATAAAGTATTTTCTGTTTTTAGATTTAGTATTCTTATTGGATTCATTTCTCTTTAAGTGGCTTTAATTTTGATATTTGCTATTATTTTATACAAAAATCTTGTCAATATATTAATTTTTTTGTTTTTCTATTCTAAATAATATTTTATCTTATTACAATTAGTCTTTTCTATATATTATATTTTTATTTTTTTACAAAAGAGTTTACTTTATTATTTCTCTTAACTTCATTGTAACTTTTAATTTTAACTATTATTATTTTAGTATTTTTGCTCTTAATAAGACCTATAATATTTGTTATTCATATTATATTTTTCTTCTTTAGAATTCTTCTATCTTTTATATTTTAAATTACTCTATTAATATTTTTTAATACAATAATACTGTTTGTATACTCTTCTATGCTTTTTTCTTCTAGTACTATTAGAATTACCATCTATATTATTATTAATTCTAATATTATTATTAAAGGTCATCTTTTATATCTTAATGCAGTTTTTTTTTTGATCAGTTTTTTTTATTTTATACTTGTATTTAATTAATATCCATCTTTTTTATACTGTTTTTTTCTTTTTTTTATATAATGTTTCTTTTGTATAAAAAATGCTTTTTTTTTATTTTTCTTCTTGTTTCTTGTTAGAACTTCTATTAAATAGTTTGTAATTATACTATTCAACCTTTATTTTTTAATTAACTCTACCTTTAGTTCTTCTGATTGCCTTGGTTTTAATAGTTTTTTTATTTTCTATTATTCTATTGTTCTATTTTCTAATATCTGTTTTAACTTTATATTAATTTTATTATTAATTTTCTTTACTAGTATTTCTGACATCACTTTTATATTATATTCTCATTTTATTTATTTCTCACATTTGTCTATTGTCTGTTCTAATTTAATTTTACAACCTTTGTATTTACTTATTTTTGTAAATGTTTTTTCTTCTTTTTTATATATTAACCAATATTTACTAAAATGTTTTCTTCTTTTTTTATTTATTTTACTAAATTGCTAATTGTGTTTTGGTTTATATATGATTTATTCTTTCTTTTTCAGTTTTTTAATATTTTTATTCACTTGATCTTTAATGCTTGTATATTATAGTTATTTATCTTATAGTAATCTTGTATTTTTTTACTTATTTGTATTATTAGTATATTTTTTTCTAATTTGCTAA